CGACACCCGCAACCTCTTGCTCGCACGTGACTCACATCAACCACAGCCATTCGTGGTCCATCCGTACACCCAACCTTTTTGGGGATTTGTTCGGTCAATTTCTCGTCCTCGTTGGCCGTGCCCGCGGGTAAATATTTCTACTCGCCCGTGATTTTATCCGCTCTAATTTCCGACTAATTCGGGGTAAATTGTACCGACACCCGCAACCTCTTGCTCGCACGTGACTCACATCAACCACAGCCATTCGTGGTCCATCCGTACACCCAACCTTTTTGGGGATTTGTTCGGTCAATTTCTCGTCCTCGTTGGCCGTGCCCGCGGGTAAATATTTCTACTCGCCCGTGATTTTATCCGCTCTAATTTCCGACTAATTCGGGGTAAATTGTACTTAAATACCATATAATTTCTCATTTGTTGCGCTTAAATATTATAAATTAAATTTTAGTGTAAAAAAAATCATAAGGTTTTTAAAATTTATATGTTATTATAATCGACCATGCAAATGTGAAAAGTTTCAATCAAATGTTTCTTTGTGAAACTTACATATTAATTTTAGAACTTTCTAACTATTAATATTTATTAAAGTTTTAACAAATATTATTAGGGAAAAATGTGTACAGACCCTAAAAGCAGAAACTTCATGTGACGAGGCCCCTCGTAGTTTCCCCCATGTGAATCAACTCATTGATGTGTGACACTTTGTATTGCAGTCCTTTTTTATTAATTATTACATGTTAGCTAAGCTAAAATCCCCAAATTATCATTATCCTCTCTCCTCAATTCCTCAGACCCAGCACTCATCTCCTCTCTCTCATCTCCTCTCTCTCTCTCTCTCTCTCTCTCTCTCTCTCTCTCTCTCTCTCTCTCTCTCAAACTAAGAGCTTTCTCAAGCTCATCACCCTGGTCCTCGCCCTCCTCACCGTTGCCGCCTCCGCTCAGGCCCCCAAGGCTCCCCTCGAGTTCGTCTCCGCCTCCCCTCCCCTCCTCTACCCGTCCTCGTCGCCGTAGATCGCCGCAGCTCCCCGCCGTAGATCGCCGCCGCAGAACTTGAGGAAAACGCCCGAAAAGCTCGGGCAATTGAAGACCATTGAGGAGTGCAGGGAGATGATCCGAATATATAATGTTAATGGAGATGGTGTTTTATGCTTTGATGAATTTAAGAAGATGATGCTACGAGAGTAGGCTGGTTTTTGAGATTGATCTTTACCGTAAATGATGTTGTTGTTGTGCCCCGTTGAGAATTGGACATTACCTTTTCTTTTTTTATTTGAGATGACTTTGATCAATTGAGGGTTCATGTTGACAATATATCTACGTTTTTAATTTCTCACATGACTGTGGATTTATTCTTATGAGCTTTTGTATTTGTAAATTATGACCGATTCTGTTGTGGATGTTTTTTTAGTCACCAGGCCGAGAGGCACAGAGCATTAATCCATTAGCTAGAAGAAGAAAAGAAAAAAAAAGAAAAAATGTTTGACCAGCTATAAATAAATGAACGATTTAATTTTAAAAAATAGTCAAAAGTTATCCCCATTTTTCCACTTTCACGAGACATCCACGCCTTTTTAGAGGAAGCTGAATTTGCAATAAACCTAATGTGCGTAATCTTTTTGTATTTTAATTTCAAACAAATTTTTAAAATAGATCACTTTTAAAACTTAATTAGCAATATAGGCTGAAAAAATATTTAATTACCAAAAATCGTTGTAAGCTAGGACGGTAGTTATAAATCGTTGTTATAAATGAGGATACAGTCATGTTTTTATAAATCGTTGTTAATTATATTTGATAATAGTTATACCTAATGATATGTTATTTCTAGATGTTATTGTGGTAGTTCTAGTAACCCTCGAGTTAGTTCTAGCTACTACAATTGTTAATTCTGACTAATAAGTTAGTTCTAACCGCTACTTGTTATTTTTGCTTCTACCTTAGTTCTAGCTTCTATTACCCTAGTTCTAGCTTGTATACAGCCAGTTCTAGCTCACACCTTGCTAGCTCTAAACCCAGCCCGCGTTTTTTACCTTCACACTTGTTAATTCATGTTTCTACGTTAGTTCTAGCTTCTATTACCCTAGTTCTAGCTTGTATACAGCCAGTTCTAGCCCACACCATGCTAGTTCTAAACCCAACAAGGGTTTTTTATATGCACACTTATTAATTCTAGCTTCTAGCTTAGTTCTAGCTTCTATTATTCTAGTTCTAGCTTGTATACAGCCAGTTCTAGCACACACGTTGCTAGTTCTAAACCCAGCCTTCGTATTTTACCTTCACACTTGTTAATTTTTGCTTTCACGTTAGTTCTAGCTTCTATTGTCCTAGTTCTAGCTTGTATACAGCTAGTTCTAACCACGCCTTGCTAGTTCTAAACCCAGCCCGCGTTTTTTACATGCACACTTGTTAATTCTAGCTTCTATCTTAGTTCTAGCTTCTATTACCCTAGTTCTAGCTTGTATACAGTCAGTTCTAGCTCACATCTTGCTAGTTCTAAACTCAACCTTCGTATTTTACCTTTACACTTGTTAATTCTTGCTTCTACGTTAGTTCTAGCTTCTATTGCCCTAGTTCTAACTTGTATATAGTCAGTTCTAGCTCACACCTTGCTAGTTCTAAACCCAGACTTCGTATTTTACCTTCACACTTGTTAATTCTTACTTCTACGTTAGTTTTAGCTTCTATTATCCTAGTTCTAGCTTGTATACAGCTAGTTCTAGCCCACACCTTGCTAGTTCTAAACCCAGCCTTCGTATTTTACCTTTACACTTGTTAATTCTTACTTTTACGTTAGTTCTAGGTTCTATTACCCTAGTTTTAGCTTATATACAAGCTAGTACCTGCAGTATACAAACTAGAACTAGAGTAATAGAAGCTAGAACTAAGGTAAAAGCTAGAATTAACAAGTGTGTATGTAAAAAAACCCGAGTTGGGTTTAGAACTAGCAAGGTGTGGGCTAGAACTGACTGTATACAAGCTAAAACCAGAGTAATAGAAGCTAAAACTAACGTAGAAGTAAGAATTAACAAGTGTGAAGGTAAAATATGAAGGTTGAGTTTAGAACTAGCAAGGTGTGGGTTAGAACTAGCTGTATACAAGATAGAACTAAGGTTATAGAAGCTAGAACTAATATAGAAACTAGAATTAACAAGTGTGCATGTAAAAAATACGGGCTGAGTTTAGAACTAGCAAGTTATGGGCTAGAACTGGCTATATACAAGCTAGAACTAGGGTAATAGAAGCTAGAACTAACGTAGAAGTAATAATTAACAAGTGTGAAGATAAAATACGAAGGCTGGGTTTAGAACTAGTAAGGTATGGACTAGAACTGGCTATATACAAGCTAGAACTAGGGTAATAGAAGTTAGAACTAAGGTAGAAGCTAGAATTAATAAGTGTGCATGTAAAAAACACGGGCTGGGTTTAGAACTAGCAAGGTGTAGAGTAGAACTGGTTGTATACAAGCTAGAACTAGGGTAATATAAGCTAGAACTAATGTAGAAGTAAGAATTAACAAGTGTGAAGGTAAAATACAAATGCTGGGTTTAGAACTAGCAAGGTGTGGGCTAGAACTGACTATATACAAGCTAGAACTAAGGTAATAGAAGCTAGAACTAAGGTAGAAGCTCGAATTAATAAGTGTGCATGTAAAAAATACGGGCTGGGTTTAGAACTAGCAAGGTGTGGGCTAGAACTAGCTATATACAAGCTAGAACTATGGTAATAGAAGCTAGAACTAACATAGAAGTAAGAATTAATAAGTGTGAAGGTAAAATACGAATGCTGGGTTTAGAACTAGTAAGGTGTGGGCTAGAACTGGCTGTATATAAGCTAGAACTAGGGTAATAGAAGGTATAACTAAGGTAGAAGCTAGAATTAACAAGTGTGCATGTAAAAAACACGGGTTGGGTTTAGAACTAGCAAGATGTGGGCTAGAACTAGCTGTATACAAGCTAGAACTATGGTAATAGAAACTAGAACTAACGTAGAGGCAAGAATTAACAAGTGTGAAGGTAAAATACGAAGGCTGGGTTTAGAACTAGCAAGGTGTGGGCTAGAACTGGCTGTATACAAGCTAGAACTAGAATAATAGAAGCTAGAACTAAGGTAGATGCTAGAATTACAAGTGTGCATGTAAAAAACAAGGGCTGGGTTTAGAACCGGCAAGGTGTGGGCTAGAACTGGCTATATACAAGCTAGAACTAGGGTAATAGAAGCTAGAACTAAGGTAGAAGCTCGAATTAATAAGTGTGCATGTAAAAAATACGGGCTGGGTTTAGAACTAGCAAGGTGTGGGCTAGAACTAGCTATATACAAGCTAGAACTATGGTAATAGAAGCTAGAACTAACATAGAAGTAAGAATTAATAAGTGTGAAGGTAAAATACGAATGCTGGGTTTAGAACTAGTAAGGTGTGGGCTAGAACTGGCTGTATATAAGCTAGAACTAGGGTAATAGAAGGTATAACTAAGGTAGAAGCTAGAATT